CCGGCCCTCCGGTCCAGTTTAAGAACCCATTGTGGCCCTCGAGTCAAAAAGTTTGCCCACCCCTGGATTAGACTCAAAGAATAACAAGCTGTATCATTATTTTGATATTAGCTGTGTTAAAAATGAATGGAATATATTGATCATTTGATTTTCTAATTTCTAGTTTCTTCCATTTTTGTATTTGTTTAACTTCTTGGCAAGGCTACAAAATGAATGTACCTAGACGAGAGATCAAAACATTATTTTACCCTAAATAAAAAATATTTAGTTTAATCAAGCAAACTCCAGAATGGGTGCATGATGACCGGAAAAATCTTTGCAAAATTATCAGAAACTAAATATATTTTCAAGCCCAAAAGATTAGGATACTCATTGTCTATCTCAGCTCTTGCCATTTAGCAAATATCACTGTTAGCACTACCTGGCGGCTTATTCCAGGAAACAAAAACCTTGCAATGTATACCCACTACCCCCTCCTTATAAATTTGCCAAAATAGAAAACATCCTTGCCAAAATTAGCATCTTGGCAGAAGCAGAGTTTTAATTCTTTTCCTATCTATCCACTCAATTCCTTTTACAAGTACAAAGGCAAATCCAAAAGGTATACATTAATTTGTTTTATTTGGAATGTACCTACAATTATGATGCATGGGTTAGGATTTACCTGAAAAAAAAATCCAGATATCAAACTATCCATCAGTTTCAGGTTATGTACAGCTAGCACTGCCAAAACAACACTGTTCAAAAATGTAGCTAGGAACTGTTGAAAGGAGCATCTGTTACCCCTAAGCAAATTCTCCAAAAGTGAAATATTTTCAGCAACTTAAAAATATCATGTTGTCATTACAACTGTTAGACAAAAGGAAATAAGACAGGATGCTGAGACATGATACATGTAGGGATGATAATCAGACAGAGAATGGAGGATACCATATGTACTTAACTCCATCACCACCAATAACAAAGCACACTCTACCCAAATCCAACTTGATCCACCCATGTGAGAAAAGTACTGCCCCTTATTATCGCAGAAAGACGTATATTTGTATGAAGAGTTTAGGTGAAAAGGTAGATCAAGTTTTTAGTTATAAAGAGTTTACATTCATATAAAATTAATGGGGGAGGGGGGACAGCCCTGGCCAGTATTGCTAAGTGGTTAGAGCATCAGCCCAGAAACAGAAGAGTTATGGGTTCAAGTCCCGGTCAAGGACATATACCCAGCCCAGGTCAGGGCGCATGTGGGAGGCAACCAATTGAAGTGTCTCTTTCACATCAATGATTGTTTATTTCTCTCTCTTTTTCTCTCTCTCCCTCCCTCCCTTCCACTTTCTCTTAAAAATTAATGGAAAAAATATCCTCAGCTGATGATTAACCAAAAAAATTAACAGGGTTCATTAACTTGATTTCACTGAAAATAAGATTAATTTTCAATAGCTCCTATTTGCTGGGCTCTGGGCTAAGTATCTGTGTACATTGAATACACATCTAATCTTCACACAACTCTAAAAGATAAACATTACTGTACTAGAGGACCAATGCATGAAATTCATGCACGAAATTCCTGTCAGGGGCACATGTCAGGTTGCAGTTGCGGGCTTAATCTCCAGTAGGGGGGATGCAGGAGGCAGCCCATCAATGATTCTCATTATTGATGCTTCTATCTCTCTTTCCCTCTTCCCTCCTCTCTGAAATTAATAAAAATATATTTTAAAAATAATAATAATAAAAATGGTAGGGAAAACATTTACCAAAAATATCCAACTCAACCTCGAGTTGATTTCTGTAAAATGTATAGGAAAAAAATCAGATATTGTTTGAAAGTTAGATTATTTTATGATTTAGCAAATCTTTTAGAGATTACCTGACTTTTAATACTTAACAGTTGGGAAAGGAAACAGGAAGAATAATTGTAAAGGAAGAATACTTTTGGTTTATATAGGTTTTCTGGCTTTGTGATGAAGATAAACATTTCTGAAAAATGAGAAGTGGCATTAATTGTACAGACTCTGTTTTCTGGATTAGCATAAAGGATAAAATCAATTTAATATTAGTATTTGATTTTGTTTTAGCCATAGTAGGGACATGGTATTCAAATGACCCCACACTTAGACCTCTTGCCAATTATACCACTGACTTTCTTAGCCTTTAATCTTTAAAACCTGGGCCAATGAGACTTTTGTTCTACCTATTTATGCCTATTGAATAATCTAGTTTTATATTTAGTCTCATGTCCCTGCTAGAATGCAAGCCCTACAAAGTCAGGAAAAAACTTTTTTTAATCCCTGTTTTATCCCTAGTGCCTAGAACATCTGGCACAGTTAAACACTCAATATTGATTTAAAGAATGAAGCCTCATATCCTTCTGCACACCACAAAGCCTCTGAAAGCAGAAGTAAGGGGTAAGCTTGTATGTAGATTACTACTTTCTCTGCCAACCTCAAGTCCTCCTTTAGAAGTCAAGAGCAGCCCAGATGCTACAAGACTGATCCCTGTAGACAACCACTAGGTCAAGATAGGGTTTCTGTTTTTCTCTATGTATATGAATGGAATTACTAAAAAGTAAAATTTGTGGTTTTGAAAATAAAACAAAACAAGAATAAAGTCAAAGTTGATTATTGAAATACTGAATAAAGTCCAACTAAGAAAAGAGAGAAATAACATTAGGATGAAAAGGAAATTTGAAACTACAAATAGGTACTGAGAATTATTGGAATACTGATGCAAGTTTATATCAATAACTTTTTAATCTAGAATTCTAGATAAAGGAGTTGGTATGCTAAAAATTTCCAATTTCCAAAATCAACTCAAGAAAAAATAGAAAAATATTATGAAATCAATAACCCTATTACAAATACAAATATTTTTCAAAGATCGACCACTAAATAAGCTCCCAAGCTTAATTTTATAGGTCAGTTATGTACAATTCACAAAGATCAGATGATTCCTATGTGATTCTCATTATTCTACAGCGCAGGAAAAAAAAATGATCGAAAACTTGGAATTACTAAAAAGTAAAATTTGTGGTTTTGAAAATAAAACAAAACAAGAATAAAGTCAAAGTTGATTATTGAAATACTGAATAAAGTCCAACTAAGAAAAGAGAGAAATAACATTAGGATGAAAAGGAAATTTGAAACTACAAATAGGTACTGAGAATTATTGGAATACTGATGCAAGTTTATATCAATAACTTTTTAATCTAGAATTCTAGATAAAGGAGTTGGTATGCTAAAAATTTCCAATTTCCAAAATCAACTCAAGAAAAAATAGAAAAATATTATGAAATCAATAACCCTATTACAAATACAAATATTTTTCAAAGATCGACCACTAAATAAGCTCCCAAGCTTAATTTTATAGGTCAGTTATGTACAATTCACAAAGATCAGATGATTCCTATGTGATTCTCATTATTCTACAGCGCAGGAAAAAAAAAATGATCGAAAACTTCCAATTAATTTTTCAAAAATAACTTATAACCCAAATTCCAAGAGAGAATAAAGAAAAAATTATTTTTAATTCTCATGAACATAGACATAAAATCTTGAATAAAATATTTACAGCACAGCAAACAGGTTTATTACTGTGCAATGGAAAATTATGACACCTTTCTCTTAAGTTTCTTCATCTGTTCTATTTTTTCCACTTCAATTTCCTTACTGTGTTTATTATACTATATTGTTTTTAATTTCCCTACCAGAATGTAATGCTTGGATTTTATTTACAGGATTTTTATTTTATTCACCGCATCTACTGCCTGGCATATATGCAGGCTCTATTTATTTATTGAATGAAGTCTTATGAAACAGGTATTCCTATTAGCTAGATTTTACCTTAAGAAGAGGCTGGAGCCATGAGAATCTGCCTATGGTCACTCAGTACAAGGGAGAGATAGGATTTGTAAGCAGCGGACGTGACTCCACGCCACATAACCACCGCAACTGCAAGGTGCCTCTAATTTATGTGGTGAATCACACAGGTACCATTTAAGCCAGCGGTTCTCAACCTGTGGGTCGCGACCCCTTTGGTGGTCGAAGGACCCTTTCACAGGGGTCGCCTAAGACCATCCTGCATATCAGATATTTACATTATGATTCATAACAGTAGCAACATTACGTTATGAAGGAGCAACAAAAATAATTTTATGGTTGTGTCACAACATGAAGAACTGTATTTAAAGGGCCAGAAGGTTGAGAACCACTGCTTTAGGCTGTTTCCCACATTAGACAGTTCCTTCCCAGCAGGGGATACTTCATTACCTTTGTCCTCTGACTGGCAATGTCTAGCCCGTGTTACACACGCAATAATTATTGGCAAAATAAGTGAACGCATACACATATTGATTACCCAATCATTTTTACATGTATGCCTCAACTGGCTAGATTATTTAAGCTTTCCGAATTTTAAAATTGATTTTTAATATAAAGTTCCTGTCTTTAAAATGTAGTGATGCAAAAAAAAAAAATACTTTATTTGAATTGAGAAAAACATGGCTAAGTAGTTTAATTAAAGGATATGTACCCTATGCTACTATGTCCTCCGAAGTGGTTTTTAAAGCTTTATTCAGCGATAGCATCTATTAAGCAAAAAACTCCAGAAACAGCTATTCGACTCATTTCATGATATACACATGCATAATATTAATGATCGTTGATCACAAACCGCAAACGACTGTGGCATTTCCACAGACACCGAGACTTAGAAAACAAGCAATCATGCCAGGCAAAACAGACATCTGCACTTACAAAAACTGACGCTAAGAACACCCCGGAGCAATGCCTGGCCCAGGAGCCACTCGCAGGAAGCTTTCCCAAGTAAGTTTGACGACGATCGTAAAGACACGAGTAACTCGCCACAAAATCCCAACGGCCGTAGGTTTACAGTGAGGAACAAACATTCCTGGGAGGAAGGGCTGGGCATGTGAGAGATTTTAAAACGACACCCCTCCCAGGCCGCCTCGAAACCTAGAGCCCGAGTTTCTCGTCCTCAGAACTCCTCACCGTTTCTATTCTAGGGGGACGCGACCATTCCTCGGGCAGAGGCTAGTGCACAAAGGAAAAACCGGCCATCCAGCGCGAAGGCCGAGGAATCGAACGAAACTACGGCGCGCTGACCAGCAAGGACCCCTGGCGTCCAACCGCCCCTTCAGAGAGCCGCAATCGCACTTCTCGCGAGATTTCTCGTTTTTATGGGATCGCGAAGATGAAACCTCGCGGCTTTTGAGATAAAGTGTACGACGGGGCAGCTCCTAACCCACTTCACGGAATCTTCGAGAGCCTTGACCTCGCAGGCCCTATTCCCGTACCTTCCATCCTCTTCCCCCCACCCCCTCCCACCTTTCAGTCCTAGGGACTTCCGGAGCTAGACCGGAACCGGAAGTTTCTGGACGCGAGGGGGTGGGGCCGAAAAAAATCAAAAAAAGCGCGGTGAAAACTGGAAACCCAAACTGGCCGGGTGGTGGTGACTCCCTGGCGGTCCCGTGGCGGCTCCTGATGGACTCCACCGCCTGCTTGAAATCCCTGCTCCTGACCATCAGTCAGTATAAAGCCGTTAAGTCGGAGGCGAACGCGACCCAGCTTTTGCGGCACTTGGAGGTGAGGGGCTCCAGCGGCGAGGGCGAGATGGGCTTCCCCTTAGTAGCATTTAGTGCGCGGTGTAGCCGGGGTGTAGCTGCCCCAGTTTAGGAACGAAAGGGCTGCTTCTCCCGTCCTCAGCTGTCTTTGTGTTGGTAAAGAAGGCGGGTGAGGGTCAGCCTCGAGTCCCACCCTCCGCTGCCCCGCCCCCAGGCCTCCAGGTTCTTTCAGTTGCCTCGGGAGGGAGTCGTGGCTGCTGAAAGTCCCAGGACCAAAGGTTGGGGAATTTAGGCTGTGCTGGGGGTTGGTGGAGGAGAGAGCTCAAGCCTGTACCTTTTCCCTTTTTAAAAAAACAAATTAAATGTTTATTGTTGATCGTATTCCATGTGTTCCCCTTTTTCTTTTGGTTTTTCCATCGTAACAGCCCTGACAATATCCAGTAATTCTCGGGAGTGAAGGTGATGGGGCGTGATGACTAAAACTTGTTTTATCCTTGTCCCTTAAGCGGTTTACAATCTAAACCTGTTCCTTACTGCTTTTATTTTAACTCATGTGGAACTCGAACTTGAAAAATATTATTTCAACTTCCTCTGGATTAAGAAGCAATTTCACTTACTAATAATCCTAAACTTTTTTTCTTTCCCAAAACAGATAGCTCACAATTTTTCAATCCTAAAATACTGAATTGCTTTCATTTTTGTCTATTAGTTCCCACTGATTTGTGTCTAGAGTACTTATTCTATATAACTTTTTTTGCTCTTAATCTGCTGTCATTTATTATGCATTAATGGGATTCCAACTAACTGACCTCTTAATAAAAAATAGTTAAGCTCAATCAAATCTTATTTTAATTCTCTCTGTCACTGCTTCTGTTAACATAGAATTGAACCTAATTTTAAAATAGATTCTATTTGTTATATTAACCCTGTGATAAAAGCTTAAATTACCAAAGATTAGCAAACTGACAAAGAGAAGACTATTGTTAATGGTACAGCAACGTCAGTTTTTGGTGCAAGGGGAGTGCGTTAAATGTGTCTTCATTCTCAAATTTCATTGATGCTCTCCTTACTACTTCAGGTGCCCATCTCCTAAGTACATTATTTTTTTCATTCATTACATCAACAAATTTCTGCAAACCTAATAATGATGGTGTTAGCTGTTAAATGCTAATACTTTACTTCTCAATTAGGATAGAACAGTGTGCTAAGTAGATTCACAAAGCCACAAATAAGCAGGGTTGTTAGTTTAATTTTAAGATAAAGGAATTAACTATTTTAAATATCCATTTGAAACATTACCTGTCTTTGAGAATAAACAGGTATGCTGTGAATCTAAGCACCATGTTATGGTGAATTGAAGGAGACTTTAAAGAAATATGAGGCTTAAGGACTTGACACTAGACTTTCAAGGGATTTATTGAAAAGTCTTGTACCGTTTAGAGAACTAACATATATTTAGTGTATAATGTGCAATAATGTTAACTAAAGAAATAGCTTCATAATTTTTTTTAATGTTTTTATTGATTTCAGAGAGGGATGGAGAGGGAGAGAGTTAGAAACATCAATGATGAGAGAAAATCATTGATCACCTCCTGACTGGGGATCGAGCCCACCTGGGAACGAGCCCACAACCCAGGCAAATGCCCTGACCAGGAATTGAACCTCAACATCCTGGTTCATGGCTCTATACTCAACCATTGAGCCACACTGGCCGAGCCAGAGTTTGGTGTGTTTTTTTAATATATGTGTATGCTCAAGTAGCTACCATCTGTATCATAATATAGAATATTTCTAATGTTTTTTTTTCAATTGTCCCCTCTCATAAAATTCAGTAATTGAACTTATACAATACATACTTTTGTATCTGACTTCTTACACTCAATATAATCTGAAATTCATTAATGTTGCATACTTTACTCTTTTTGATTACTTTGTAGAATTCCATTTTGTAAATTCACCAGTTTATTTATATTCTGTTGATGGGCATTTGGGTTGTTTCCAGTTCTGGGTAGAATTTGAAAAATGTGTTGTAAGTACTTTCATACTTTTTTTGTTGATATGTGAATTCATATCTTTTATATACCTAGAAGTGGAATTGTTAGGTTTCACAGCTATGTTCCATTTCAGGTGAAATTGCCAAGCAATTTTTCACAGTGTTATGCCATTTTACTCTCGCACCAGCAGTATGTGAAAATTGCCATCTTTCATCCAGAGCAATCCTTGGTGTTTTCAGATTTTTAAATTTTGACCATTTTCGTGATATTAAGGGTGACTATCTTTGTGCAGATCTCATGAAAGCAGCACCTGAAGATACAAAGAGAGGTTGTTATTCTGTGAAAGGAGATTGACTATTCATTCTGCTATTCTGCTGCACTTCTGCTAATTTTTCTTTGTAGCCCCAGGCAGAACCTGATATTTGAACTATTTTTTGATTGGGAGAGCTGAACTGGTTTCAATCTTGGTGGTTTTTTCATAGCACTAATCTTATGTAATGATTATGAGTATTGATTCAGGAACAATGAATCCCAATTAAGCTAGTGTAGATTGTGCTTCAGTTTACTCATCTGTAATAATTAGCTGTGAATTGCAGATTATTATGAATATGAAAAGAATTAACATACACAATGTACCTAGGCCAGAGCAAGTGCTAAAGTATTAGTTATCATTAAAGTAAATTGTATTTACATAAAACATTCTGTGTGTATAAATAAAGAAAATTTATAAAGCATTTTTAAAGTTTACCTTGCAATGAATATGTATTACATGTTAGAATACATGTGTTATTTTATTTTAACCCGGGTCCAGTCCTGAGGGAAACTATATTTAAAGCAGAAAATGTCTTCATCTTCTAAAGGGCTAGCTTTATCAATAGGCAAAAGGACAGTGCTCAGAAGGTTCCTTATCACAAAATATCTTCTATCAGTATCTCACTTCACTTTTGGGCCATTTTTTATTCTTACAGACTTTTACTTTAATATTAAAACACATAATCCACAGGAAAAGATATTCTGAAGCTCCCTTATCAGCAAAGCTTTAGAAGAAAAACTGACATCTTGGTGAGGGAATAAAGGGACACGGAAAGATTAGAGGGATGCTAAAACAACCTTCTGAGACTTGATCTTTTATTTATTTTTTTAAATTTAAATCCAAAGTATTACATATGTCACTTTTTCCCCCCATTGACCTCTCCCCGGCTACTCCTACCCCCCAGCACATGCCCCACCCTCCTACAGTCTGTGTCCATTGGTTATGCTTATATGCATGCATACAAATCCTTTGGTTGATCTCTCTCCCACCCT